AACTCCCAGAAGGGGGAATATTCTTGGGCCCTGCTACATCTTCCTTTCAGTTCTGGTTCTTTGAAACCAACCAGACCCTTTTCACGTTCTGAATGAACAGCAACATTCGATGCTGGGGCTCCCTTTGGATTACCAATCAAAACTGTAGATTTGATTCCATACTCGAGAGGCACACGCTTTACAGCCGTGTCGAATCCTGGGACAAGACTGCAAGTTGTTTCTGCAGCCCTTTGATGGGCGGCCAAATAAGGTGTAGAATCTATCGAATCAGCGCAGCTGGATGAAGGAAGCAACGGAGAAGGTGGTGTTTGTCGATGGCTCGAGATTAATGGCTCTGAATCATTTCGAGACAGGTATAATAAATTCGGTGGCGTCGGCATGACGACATCTTCGGGCAAAGATGTATCAACTAAGGGATACTTCGTATCAATCTCAGGCATCAAAACACTGAAGGTGTTGACAAGAGATGAGGCAGCTTGTCGAAAGGAAGACCATAGCTGGGAGGGAAATCCAGGAGTCGACAACTGGAACCTTGACACAACAAATAAGATAAAAATTTGAGAGACATAAGTAGGGTAAAAGGCAGATAAACAAGCGCATAAAGGCCTTTAATAACAGTGATGGGTGAAAAATGAAAAAAAGATAAAAAAGAAACCATTCTAAATTAGACAAGATTACGAGATATGAATAGATTGTAGACACACTGAAGACAATTAAAATAAGCAACAAGTAGAGGAAGGAATAGAAAGACAGGATAAACAGAGTGGATGAAGAATAAAAGAAAATTTCGATCCCAAGTGAAACAATTCACTATACAAGAAGTGCATGCACTGGAGCCTATTTATCAAATTAATCGATTTATACTCATACTCAAAGTTATAGGATAAAAATAAGAATTAAGATGATAAATAATGCGAGGATCACTAATGCATTAAAAAAGTCCAATAAGCTTTAACTCCACAATACACATATGCAGCCAGACATCGTTACTATCCAGAATTGTAACAAAATCTTAAGGCCGAATTATTAGTTGATTCACAAAATAAAGAATAAAACTTATAAGTGATCGCATTTTCCAATGGCCTAAGTTGAAAAAAATGCATTGCATAAACTACAAGTTTATATAGGCATAACAGTAAAAAAGGATGCACTTGGTGGCCAACTTAATGTAGACCCTTGCTAACTTTAATCAAGCAGCCTCGACAGAACGCTGGCCGAGAGATTGAATTCACTTGTCTTTGAAAAGTTGTAGTTTGGTGCGGAAGATGGCAAGACTCATTGATGATGCCGGCGAAACGTCTGAGAATGTACCAAGTCCACGGTCTCATCTTGGGAATCATGATAAGTACTATGGCAGAGGATTTCGAACAAGGTGTGTTCAACAAAGTTGCCTTGACAACAAGACTAAGTTACAAAAATGAGGCCAACACGCGTTTATAAATCGAAAGGAGGCTACGTCCATACCGAGGTCCACACCATTTTAGTCTTCGTATCTTTTCTTAAGTAAGCAGTTTATGTACTGAAATCTTCTATAAAGGAGGTTAATAAAAAGATTGGACGAATTAAGGACAAATGACCATGTCCAGTAGGAAATATATCTTCTCCAAGGAATATTTCGCGTCAAAATTGTGTTTATGACGCATAAATTAAGCTTATTTATTCAGACTGACAGTTCCCATAATAGATAGGAGAGAGAATTCGCCTAGGTGTCCAGATGACGTTGATAGCCTTTCAGCTGGACGATATTATACCTGAACAATAGGATCCACTGACAAAATAGCAAGCCCTGTCTTACAGCGTCCTACATAGCTACAACCACAGTCGAATGGGAATTTATTAAATTCATTAGAATGGGAGAGGACACAGAAAAAAGGAACCGATTTCAAAATATTTCAATTCACAGTAAGCAATTTAGCAACCGGCAAAATAGGCTTAGAAGAGCGAGAGATACGAAAATTGATAGTTGGTTATTAGTAGAGGGAATGATCCTATAGAGCAAGAGGGAGACTTTGATAAGGTCTGAAGGGAGATGATTGCGGATTAAACCGCAGCCTTGGATCAACACTCTCGGCACAGTGGGGGATGTGGGAACTAGCGGAAAGTGTGAATAGGTTTGGAATAGGTTTAGATATACAAGTAAGAAAATGTGATATTGAAAGGTTTATACGAGGATATAGGATAGGTGAATAGCCAAGGATAGGAGAGATACCACAACTGTCTAGCAGATAATTAGCCAAAGGATCGACTTCACTTTCTCTTTGACGAGTTATAGTGTGGTGCTAAGAATGGCGAGGCTCACTGACGATGCCAGGGAAACGTCTGGAAATACACCAATTCCACGGTCCGGCTGGGAATTACCATGCTTACTATGGACTTTGGACAAGGTGCGTTCCTCTAGGTCTTCCTGCCAATGTTACCAAGTTACAAAAACAAAGTCAAACTACTTCTATATGGCAAGAGGAGACCGCGAACACACAAAAGGCGACACCATCTTAATACATTTGATTAACGGAGTATCATTAGAAGCCTTTATCGATCATTCAAGTCAGACGCCTCGATCATAGAAAATTTCATATAGCCATTCATTATTTATTCCGCATACATCTGAAATGCTTGCATAAAAATGGAAAACGGATAAGTGCCTGCGAGTAACCTTGTTCTATATGCTACCAAAATATGGGCCAGTCAAAAAAAAATTTGTGATTACGGTCGAGAGGATTTTATATGTAAAAGTATTGCGAATAGCTTTATGATAAATAACTCAAGAAACTCTGGTTGATGAAGGTACAGAACATATCAAATCTTAATCTCTGAAGAATTTGGTTAATTTAGCCAATTAATGAGTTAAAACATATGAGTATAGAAAAGAAGTTTTCCATTCGCCAACAAATGTGCCTTTTAGATTGGTTTCAATCCAAGGTTCAAAGATAATAATAATCGAGGGATAACTTTATGTTATATATTGTCATAATTGCCATCAATAATCTTTGCATAAGTGTATTATCAGATGGCAGCAACG